GGCTGCTGCGTGGTGCTGAGGCTGAGGCCCCGCGTCCGGCCGCGGGCCCAGCGGAGCCGCGTGGTCAAGTGCAGCGCCAACCCCATCTTCAATGAGGACTTCTTCTTCGAGGGGCTCGGCCCGCCAGACCTGGCCGCCCGCACTCTGAGGGCCAAGGTGCTGGACAGGGGCGCAGGGCTCCGCAGGGACGTGCTGCTGGGGGAGTGTGAGACGCCCCTTATAGCACTGCTGCCCCCCTTGGGTGGGGGCCTAGGCCCAGGATCCTCCCTGGCGCCCACCCACCTCAGCCTGTAGACTGAGTCGGCCTCTTCCTCAGGAGGTCTCTGCTGGATCTGCAGTCATTCATTCCATCCGCCCGCCGTGTATTTATATTTTGCTAATAAAATGTCTGTCTCTAGCCATATCCCTTCCACAGTTGGCACACTACACCCTCGGGCGAGTATCTACTTCCCTACCCCCAGCCCGTACTGGAGATGGGAGAAGCTCATGCACGCTTCTGCGTGGGGCAGACCTTAAGCAGTGGTTCTCAAACTTGCAGGAGCGCCGGAATCTGCAGACATCAGAAGTCCTGGAAGAACTGCTAAACGTGCAAAACCCTGGGCTCCCTCCCTGAGCGATGCTGCTTCAGCCGGTCTGGGCTAGATGAGTCCCAGAATCATCCCTGTCCAGCAAGGCCCCACACCCCCAGGGAGTCCGTCAGTCACTGAGTCATTTGGACAGAAACCAACACAAGTCACCTTCTCCAAAGGGCCCCTCAGGGCTGCACAGGGAATATCAGCATTCCTCTCCTACCCCCAACCTTGCACCCACACCTTTCCTGAAGACAGGTGAAATTTCTGGGTCCTGAGCCCGCCAGGGGGTGTCAGATTAAACACACAATGCCCTTTCATCTGCCTCCCTCTCACAGATTTTTTTCCCACCCTTTGGCCAACCTGGGGAACAAGTCTGAAACCAAGAACCAGAAGCGCATGTGGGTATGCTGAGATATAATGTCCCAGGAAGTGAGGTCTGGAGGGGGTGGGGAGACCTGAGTGTGAGAGGTTTTCTCTGGGATGCCAGAGAAGGCGAGCCCGGTGGGGAAGTGAGGAGGCCACGTGGGGACGGGAATGGAAGATGGATAAATGTAGGTCGGATTGTGTTTACCTTTACCTGAATGTCCCTGACGTCAGCAGTGACCTTCTTTTCTCTCCCTCCACCTTCCCAGGACCTGGTTCCTCTTGGCTCAGGCCAGGCACCGCGAAGAGAGGGAGGAAGGGAGGCAGCCACTGGGCCAATCCAGTTTCTTTCTCTCTCCTCCTTGGGCCCTTTCACATTTCCTGGGGTGCCAGCCACACCAAGGATAAGCCTGCTGGATCCTAGCAAAGTCTTAGATGTTAGCAGTGCGACACACACACACACACACACACACACACACACACTCCATCCAGATTGCTCCCTTGTTCCTTCTCCCCATAGGACCCCACTGCCCAGCCCTAAGCCAGGGAAACCTTGCTCCACGTGTCCACCAGGTGGTAGCATTGCTCAAATAATTATAAGCGCTAACAGTTCAGGAAGTTTATCCCCATGCAATTAACCAGTCCAATTACTTGTCAAGCTATTTATTCCTCCCAGAGACTCCCATAAGGGTGTAAGTACTATTGTTATTCAGTGTGACCTTGGGTCTTACACAACCAGTGAGGGGTGGAACTACAACCTGAACTCACAGCCTAGGGGCTCCTAATCCCCTCACTCTGAGGCTCCAACTCCCAACTGCTATCTCCCAACCAGTTCACTCCAACGGAGGGCTCTTTCCC